GATAAAGTGCGTCAGACATTCGAAAAGGTTTGTACAAATCCCGCCTACATTACCACAACAGTAACTGCAGCACAAATTACTCCTCTCTACCTTCATACTATGCAGAAGTTTATATATTTAATGTTTTTCACTTTTTCAGTAGTAAATTATGCGATTTCAAGTTCATATTTCTTAGTTTTTTTTATACTTCTTAGTTGACTACTAACAAAAAAAAAAAAAAAAACCAAAACAAAGAAAAATACAAATAATAATAATAATAATAATAATAATTGGGTACAATGTATACAAATTAAAAAAAAAAAAAAACTCCATTCAATCTTAAACTTCATGAAAGCCTATCTCGTATAACTTGTATTAGACCATCTCACCATAATGTGATTTAGTAAAAAAATTCTTTGCATATTTTTAATTAAAACTATTTTCATTTTTTTTTCACAGCTTACGTTGCACGCAAAAAAAGCAGCCGGAGAAGCATCAAAACAAGCGTTAGAAGTATCGAAGCAAGCAGCCGGTGTTAGTAAAAACACTTTTGAAGATCTAAGTTATGTAAGCAAGTCAACGTTAGGTGATCTCACTAAAACAGCCAAAGAGGCGGCCACGAAAAAGGGTCTTATTAAAACGGAAGACAAATCCGCCTCAAGTGGTAACCAATTGGCGACACAAAAACAAATGCAAAGCAGCGGAGGAGCAGCAAATTTCTTTTCAAACATTGGTAGCGATTTTAATGGCTTAGCTAGCACAACAACCAATATGTTTTCAGGAATGTTTGGTGGTGGCAAAAGTAAAAATGATTCCTCACATTGACATACATAAAAATTTTGTTAAATTGAAGCAAATATATTAACTTAATTACAGAGAATCAATCAAATAAATCTCCACAACAGGCAACAAACCCGTCGCAAATTATGGGCCAAAAATCGAAAAGCGGTTTCGATCCTTTTCCAAATCGTAAAGGCCTGGTAGAGCGTACACCATTGATAAAACATGCCGGTCCCCACAAAACTCAAGAAGACATAGCCCGACAACAAAATCAGGAACGATCGCATACAAACGCTGAAAATCAAGCATATTTAAAAGACGTCATCAATCATGTATTAGCTGGAGAGGGAATCGGTTGGTTGAAAATGAATCGTTTCAAAAAATTGATGGAAGATGAATCCTACCGTACGTTGGTGTTAAGTAAACTTAATAAAACCTTGGATAAAAGAATTGCTCCCGATGATCATATAGACGATGTGGTAAATTTTTTGCTAATTTATTTGCAAAGTAAAAGTAAAAAAAAAAAAAAAAAAAAAAAAATTAAAAACTTTATATATTTAAGTGCGTTCCTAAACCTATTTGGAAGGGCATGCTAAAGTGTTTGCATGCTGTCACAGCTGGGTTAGAGATGACTTTCGCTAATTTTGGCTTGGGTGGGATGGCTTCAGTATTTCAAATGATGGAGATCGCTCATACGCATTATTGGACAAAAGAACTGAACGATGCTAGTGAAATGTCATCTAGTCTTTTATCTAGTCACGCTACCAGCCCTATGGGCAGTCGAGAAAATTTACGTTCTCCTGCCAGTCCTACGGGTTCACAATCGGGTTTGGGCAGCGAATGGGCCTCGCCGCAAGAATCACGTAAAAGCTCTTCACACACCGAACGTTCAATTCCGATTCAAACAAATGCAACGCGTAGACTTTCGACAGCCGACAGTCAAGAGGGTCAATCCACGACGGAAATGTTCAAGGATATGCTCGCTCAAAAGCGTACGGCATTGCTTAGCAAACTCACATCTTTCGATTCGGATGTAAGTTTTTCACTAACTTATTCTCAATATATTTTTGGACAAAAGGTACGATCGTGAACTTTTCAGAAGTGAAATAATTTGCAAAACGGATGTAATAGTATTGATGATGGATAACATGGTTACGTTGATTATCCAATTACTAGATTAGTTCAAATAAATCAATAGATTTGACATAAAACAACACACATATTCTATCATCGAAGAGTAGCAGAACACTTCACTATATTGGGTTAAATCGGCTTGGCTCTCTCTACGGGACACTGCTCAAAATCATCTCGCTTACGTGTACGAAAGAATTATTAATTTTTGAGTTCAAGGACTCTGTTGACCTTTTAATCAATTTTCTTTCTCTCTTTCTTTCGCTGACTAAACGCGTGTACTATTGATTGCACTATTGAAGCCGCAATTTCAATAACACGAAAACTAGATAATTCTTAATTCCAGCACTTGCAAAACGATTGAGCAGCAATTGAAAGCAACTCGCCCCTCATATTTCAAGTGCCCATTCCGTTCTACTCATGGAAAATCAAATTCAGTCAAATTTAGAGCCGAAAGAATTGGTTTCTTATCTTTCAAGTAACATATGCTTTTCCTATTCCATCTTTTGTCTTCCATTCGGTGTTTTGCTTTCAAATCTTTTTCGCTGTAAGAAAAACCTTGTTTGCTGCTACGACTTCTTGACCGTTTCCTTATCGGGACAATTGTAATGACACTAAATTAGCGTTAGTTGCAGTATTGCGGATATTTGTGAATTTTAATTAAAAAATTTTATTAATTAAACTAATTAAATCATACCTTTGGGCAGAATAAATCGTTTGTAAAAGTCAGAAAAGATTTGTTATGATATAACCTATGCATAAGGGATTGATCGATAAAAGAAAAAAACTCTAATACATAGAGTCTTCTTGTAGAGCTTCTTCAGCTAGCTTCCAGATCCAGTTATTTTTATCATTCCTATCGGTATTATTACTTTGAAAGCGCATAGATTGACGTGTACTATTACCTCATTTTGACCACAAATTCACTACGGATAATAATAATTTTTTTTTTTGAAAGCAAAATAATGAAAATTTTCATAAGCGAATTCACAAATAGCCTGCTTTAGTATGATCTACGAAGTAATGCACAAATTTCCAATTTGCATACATAAGATAATTTAATGAATAGTGAGAATATAAACAGATTTAAAATGGGATGATATTCTTAAATGTGAATGAAATCCATATAAATATGAAATGAATTAGACGATGCATTTGGTAGATTTTATAGAATCGTTAGTGCTTCGCTACTATTACATTTCTTCTTAGAAAACTTTATTAATTAATTAATGTTTATCGAGGTTTAGGTAATGGTTAATTAAAATGCCAATGTATTCACTTATGTACATATGTTATTATTATATTCATAGTTGTGTAAAAATGTAGATTTTTCTAAATAAATATTTATATGTAGATACATATGTATATATTATGAACATATAAATGCATAACATAATACACACATATAGATACATATATATAGTTTTTTTTTTTTTTTTTTTTTTAATATAGTATCATTTTTTATTATATATATTACATATATACCTTTGTTAGTTAAGGGGTAACACAATTACAAATTTTTCACCAAAAATAAATTTTATTTATTTTTCTTTCAGTTTAGGAGATAATGATGTGATGCTCACCCAAAAATGGAATCATATAAAAATTTTTATTTTTTAATTTAAATTAAATTAAAACAAACGATAAAAGATATCAATCTTATTTTTATTTTATTTTAGATATTATAGCATAATCGCAAAAACGAAAAAAATCCAATCGGAATTATATGGCATGGACTTGGCAAAGAGTCACTAAACTTTTCTTCCAGTCAATTGAAAATACATATCCAGGTCCAAGTCGAAATCATATGATATGTGCTAAAAAAAATCAGTAATCATGTCACCGTTGCGTTCTCTCTTAATAGTAACTGCAATGCAATTAAACTTTGGTTTGGATATTTTCAGCATTACGTTCACGTTTCTGACGTCTTTGGTATTCTAACATTACAAACACCATTATCATTTGATCGGAATCTTGCTACTACAATTTTACATACAATGCGAAACGTAGACCGAATGGATTCATTCACGGATTCTTTTGTAACAAATTTTAACAATTTCCTTAGTTTCCACAATGGTAATTCGCCAAGCAATATTGGGTGCAAACGTCAATTTCGGTTCCACTCTTAAAAAGAGAGGTAGACGGCGTGACGTTCAAAAAATATCTAATACTGATTTGATTAGCCGTTAGCTTGAAGCTTCCCGAATAGGTGGAAATCATTTTTTAGTTCAAAAAAAATTTTTTCCTTTTTTTTTAAAGGCCGATAAAGGCGTCATCAAAAAACTAAACCGCTTTGGAAAATTTTTGCAATAATTTTCCATATGAATTTGTGTTCAATTTAACAAAAATCGCTGCGTAATAGTATTTAGGTATTATAGAGATGTGTGAAAAATTTGATTCGGCTGGGGCAATTTATTGAGCCCTCTCTCATACATTCGTTCCTATGAGTATGGAACCTTTTTATTGCAAAAAGGTCAAATTTTCAATGTTGCAAGAAGATACTTAGTTCATAATAGTAAATTGACAAAGAATTCAACCTTATCAAGCTTGGACCAGGTAGTCCTGTTTCTTGGATACCACCGCATTTCTGAGATGAACTCTCAGAAAATGTAACCCTTATATGATGAAAAGCCTAATTGTTAACGTTTTATGATAAAAATTACTTTATTATCGTAATCTGGCATAAATATTAAGTGCAACAAATTTAAACCACATGAGTCCACTCCATTAAGAAAATTTCTCATGAATAGTAAGCGCTTCTGAAAAAGGTTTAGTTTTTAATATTCAATGATGAAAATTGGTCCATATATTTGGCTTATTGGTATATACATGGGTGTTGTTATGATACGAAAATTCTTGTAGGGAGAGAAAGTGCAATTTATAGTTCTCTATGACGGAATATAAAAAATAATAAAAATCACGCCATATGATGGTTTGGAAATTCTCGAATATGCGGGCTTTTACGAAAGGTATGCCCTTGCATAGGCATAGTATCACCTTTGGTGTATTATTAGCAAAACGGGTGAAAACCTGTACTAGACGAAGTGGTGTAGTGTTGGTAATAGCTGACCTTGCCCGACTATTATGTTGTTACTTATTTTTTAAACATTACTTATTAACGAAGACAGTAGATGAGCTTAAATCGACTCAGAGAATGTTTCTGAATCGAATCTAAATCTGAAATGTAGGTCAATCTCAGGTCTTTCTGGGGGTTACGTACATCTGCACAAATTTAATACAGCTTAAGCTTGCACAACAAGCTGTGGACAATACTAAGACTGAGTTTTTTCGAGAACTAAATATTTGCCAATCACAGAAAAATCCTCCGATTTTGTCTACATAGGGGTGTGTAGATATAACACTTTTTTTTTTTTTCTTTTAAATTTAAACTTGCGCTAGTTACGCTCACTTTTTTAATATTTTTCAAAAATTATGTTTATTTTTAATACATATATATATTCTTAATAAACTCTTCGAATATTATTATTATTCCGTTAGCTTCGCTTGCATCGGGAAAAAAATTGTTAAACAAGAGCTTTTTTAGGTTATTTGTTACGGTATAAGTGTTACCCCTTAATTACAATGTTTTCGCATATACCGGACCTTATATATATTCAGTATGCTAATACATAGACATTTGCGTTCTTTGTACTTAAAGATAAAATAGCTTCTTCAACATATATGCCTAAATAGTTTTGCTTTTCAAAAGACATATAACATATTTTTTTAGAATGCCAGTTACATATATATAAATAAATGATATATGCTTAGTTCAAATACTTCTAACTAAATGTTTCCCGTAATATGTATACACAAATGCAAAATACTTATTAAAAAAAAAAAAAAAAAAATTCAATTTGTGCAAATCGTAAAATTCATAGGGTGCCGGCTCTACGGGAGCATTGTCTGTTGTCAGTGATCTACTACCAACTGGTAGTTTGAGCGTACGTATGCCTACCAGTTGTCGTTCCACTGTATCCGATACTGAATACGAAAATGTAAGTAATAAAAATCAAGTCCCATAGAAATTGTTACGAAACTTAGGAAAATGTCTTTACTCATTTAACGCTTGAAATTTAATATATGATTGGTTCAAATTGTTGCTTTTCTATAATTTTAGACTACCACCTCGAAGGAATCGAAACGCAGCTCAGGTAACATGTGGACTGGTAAATCGACTTTAAGCGCTGGCTTTCGCTATACTGGCGGACATTTAATAAATACGTCATCTTCACCATCACCCGACACACCACGCGTTTATTTATTCGAGGGCTTATTGGGTAAAGATCGTTCAAATCTTTGGAATCAAATGCAATTTTGGGAAGATGCTTTCCTAGACGCTGTTAGTCAAGAACGTGATATGATAGGCATGGATCAGGTATGTGAGAATTGGAAAACTTTCTCTTTTTTTGTCCGATTCCATAAGAAATAATAATTAATTCGTAACTCTTAGGGACCAATTGAAATGATGGAACGTTATAAAGCCTTAAGTGAATCGGAACGAAAACGTCTTGAACATGACGAGGATCGTTTATTGTCTACCATATTGTATAATTTAACAGCTATTATGGTTATGCTTAATGTTAATAAAGAAGAAATCCGTCGTAAAATACGTAGACTGTTGGGTAAATCGCATATTGGGCTAGTGTATGCTCAAGAAGTTCATAATGTTGTGGATCAGATAAATAATTTGGTAAGTTAAGATATATTACGTACTGAGTATATGATGCGTATATTCCTCTATGTATTTTAACTTTGACAAACTACACTTTATCGTCATTAAAGTGCTTGCTTTCATGAAGGTATATCAATCGGTCTAAAATGTAGACCTAAAAAATATGGGTATGGTTCATATACTACTACGACTAATTTTCATCATAAAATATTAAGAGTTAGACCTTTTTGGCACATAAAGGCTTATACACCGTTAGAACCCTTATATGGATGGAGGATCCAGAAAGAAAGTTCAAACGTGATTCAAATTCGGCAAAGCTAGTTTTTATATCAAATTATTATTATGAACGAATATTCATCAAGAAGTATATTTTATCTCCCTTTGAAGCCTCAGTTTCTGTAGGAATGGTTTTATAGCAAATGATTAAAAAAATTCTTCTATTCAGTCTAAAGTTCTCATATTAACTTAGAATGCCGAAATACCGTTAAGGTATTAAATTTTATTAAAATACATTCAAACAATTGCGACCTATATGTTGAACACAAAAATACGTCGGCAGCGGTCAGATGAACAAATGGCCAAACAAGCTTAGATTGGTTCAAAAAAAATGATTGTGAATCGATGGGTATAATAAAAGGTCTATTTTAAGCCCTTCTGGGCGTTACATATGGCCATAGAAACTTAATATACCCCTTACCATAAATGGTGTAGGCTATACAGAAACTAATATTCGTAGATTGTTTACTTCGCGCCTTGTGATTGCGGCAAGGATTAATTACGCAGCGCTTATAAGTCTTAAGTTACAATTTTTTTTATTTATTGTTTTGCCCTTGTATAAAGTGGGTTTTCGAATTTGACTAATGCTTATAGACTGAGAATAATATGTCAAGTCTCAGCATTTTACATTAATTCTTGCAAGATACGATAAACTTGTATATCTCCGCCAGTGATCACTACTCTAACCTTTCTAAGATTTTCGTATTATCCAGAACATATGAAATTGTCCTAAACTTTTTATACTATAGGCATGAAATTATTTTGATTCGTTTTAGTAAGTGATCACCGAATTTGTTTTTGCAACGTCACAGTTACCTTCTATACGGTTTTTAATTTTAAACATACCCTTAAACGTCTTATGACATTTTTTAAGATGTCGGTTATTTTCAGATCATATTGTGTGCGTTTATGTGTGATTGAGTGTTTTTTTTTTGTTTTCACTTTGCTATTGTATTCTTCATTAAGCTTAGTCAATCTAATCATAGTTTATGCTTTTTTCTTCTTTTCTAACCCAAAAAAAAAAAAAAAAAAAAAACTAAATAATAATAAAAAATGTCTATAGAATGGCAACGATATCGATTTAAAGCCTTTAGGGTCACGTTTACTGCATCGGCACAGCTTTACGGTACATCAAGGTGTAGATGCTTCGGGACCTTTACGTTTTATGGAAGTAAGAGATGACGGTTTGGTTTTGAGATCAGTAGATGGTACCATAGTTGAACGTTGGTGGTATGAGCGTTTAGTTAATATGACTTATTCACCAAAAACTAAACTATTATGCTTATGGAGACGGAATGGTGGCCAAACTCAATTGCATAAATATTATACCAGAAAGGTTAGTTAATTAGTTGCGCCATCTACATTTTCAATTGTTAATTATTAAAGAGATTTAAATAATTTTTAGTGTAAAGAACTTTACAATTGCATTAAAGAGGCCATGGAACGTGGTGGTACACCAACCAATGTACCAGAATTGGGTGGCGAGTTTCCTGTTCAAGATATGAATACAGGAGAAGGTGGCTTACTTCAAGTATGCTTAGAAGGAGTAGGTTTATTGTTTGCCAACAGCAAGGTAAGCCTTTAGCAAAATTTTTCGGTTAAATTCATCTTTTTCTAAATTAAATTCAAAAAAAAAGTTTTTTAACTATTAAATGAGAAGGAGGAATTTTTCTCATAATATCATATTTTTTTTTTTTTTTTTTTTTTTTTCATTTATTATAATATATTAAAAATTTTTGTTACTTTGACGAAACAAAAAATTATTATTAATATATTCATTTTAATTATGTTATTCATTATTTATCGTGGAAAGATATACAATTTACTTCTTTTTTTTTTTTTCTATCAGTAATGTTTAATATCGATACGATTGTATGAGAGCAAGGACCTTCTCAATTCCTTTACTATATAATGTATTTATTAGCAGAAATTTTTTTCTTTCGTATATTTCATTCATTATTTCATGTATATACGATTTATATTAAAAAAGTTTTACCATACAAAAATTTTCCCGTACAAAATTACTTTCATTTTTAATAATCTCTTTTATTATAAAAAAAAAAAAAAAATCAAAAAAAAAAATAAATAAATATTTGCATTATTGAGAATAAATTCAATTTGAGATAAGGATAAGGTGTCGGATACGGCCTCGTTTAGTACTAAAATCAAAAATATTTTTTTATCCGATTTAAGCAATTTTATCCGTCTATCCACCTGTTCGCTTGTCTGCCTAATGTTTGTCTGTCAAATGGCGGATAGCAATTTTCGAGATACTTTAATCCAATATGTGACACTGACTGATGGTTTGGCCATCGAGCGGACTATATTAAAAATGAATTGAATCGGATCATACGAGTAAGACCTATTTCAGAAAAAGTTGTTGTCATCATCAAAAAAAAAAAAAATAAATAAATAAAAAAATACAATTGCGGGTTAGTAATTTAGCATAAAAAATAATTAATTGTGCACACTTTGGATGGAATAGATTTAGCTTTTGAACCGCATCTCGTATTAAAATTTTTACAAACAATAAGCTTTCATATAGTAAAGGATTCAATTTTTGACACATTAACTTACTAATTCCGCTCGCGTAGCCCTTTTTTGGAGAGGCCAGCTCATATGAGGCTTGTTATGTGAAATGTGAGATGAAAATAAGCCTTTATACGCAATAAGATCTAATAATTAAGTATCTTTTAACAAATATATAGGTAAAGAAGAGTAAGTAATTTGCTTAAAAAAAAAAATTCGTTAAATTTGGTCGATTTGCGCTTGCAATCTTCTCTTGTATAAGACTTTCTCGAAAAGACATTTTAATTTTTTTTAAAATTCTTAGTTTTATATCGTATTAGATAAGTGCTGCAATAACATTTTAACTTCGTTTTACTACTTTATTTAGGATTAGAACATACGTTGTTTTGAAAAAGTAAACTCGTTTTATAAAATTGGCCATCGTTAACGGTTCTAGAATTGCACTGTCGAGAAATCCGATCTATTTCCAAAGAATTAAGCCTAAGTAAATTATGTTTATATATTAGTCAATCCATCATAAGGATTTCCTTCTTACTTTTGCCTTTTTCTCTCCCCTTATTAGATTATTTGAATATTTGAAATGTATAGTAACAAAGTATCGGGAACGCTTTAAACTATACGTGTTCTCACACAACTTGCAAACTGATTAAGACACACTGTTTCGTTCGATATATTTTTGTAAAAGAAAAATTTGCCAAATTACCTATAGTCGCTACAAGCATTCCTTGTTTAATTAAGAATATGAAGTTGAACAATAGGCGTGGTCTGCTTACGCTGAGTGCTAAAATCTTGGCAAAACATCAACCTTGTTCGCATTTTTATCTGCAACATTCAAGCCCATAAATTTATTTCTGGCACTACTACTCGTACCTATACAATTAACATTTTAATTCCAACTTATTTTCCATGTATCTTAGAACATTCTTAACCCCATTGATAAATAAATTTAAAATGAGTTGAAAATAAATTTTAATTAAGATTGTAACGATAACCGTAGATATATTAGTTGACCGGTTGAAGCCATTTTTGAACTGAACATACAAGTGATATGGGATAAAAATTATAGACAAAAGTATGGAAAAATTATCGGTACTTTCTTCGAGGTTGTCTCAGTTTTGCCTCTATTGTGGGCTTGCATCAATTTTCTCACATCGTATTGCTAATCGATCAAGTAATATTTGTGACACGTTTCATTTTCTTACTTGCACGACTTTTGCGATAGAGACAGTTAAACAAAAAACGGAGTTCAAAACGATCTGTTTCAGTCGAAATAGATATATGTCATCGACATCTTGGAAACGAGAAAAGGTAGAAAAATATGAATTACAGATAAATAAGGGCTTCTTGATCTGAATAAAAGCCACCAAAGTATATTAAAACATTAGATGTCTTATGATAGATACTTTTTTGGGGATGGCAAATAAAATGGTGAAGAGGACGTACTCCATAATGAGGAGTCGATCTAAAAATTCCATTTTTTATATACAATAATGCAAATGTGTTTTTTTTTTTTTACAAAAAAATTATTTACAATTAATTATTACAAAATATTTTTGAAAAAACATTATACATAAACATTATCATCATAATAATGAGCACAATTATTTACATTACTCATAAAACATGAAACATACCATACATTAAATACTGCCTTTATTTAATTCAAAAAAATAAAAAAAAAAATAAAAAAATAAAAGTAAATAAATAAAAAATAAACTCGTTTAAAAAAAAAGCAAAATAAAATAAAAATGAAATCAAGAATTATGCTGCTAGTGAATGTACTGATTGCTGGACAATGCATTTTATTTGTTTCAAATATTTTCTTAATAATATGTGATTATTTTTACAAAAAAAAAAAAAAAAAAAAAAAAAAGTAAAGCAAAAACGAACGATAACCAGTTTAAATTTTTCCATTTTTATATATATAATAATAACAAAATTAAAAAAAAATAAAAATATATTTTCTAGTTATGTTTTCTTAGTAAAATAAATTTTAATAATTTCCATTTTTTTCTATAAATAATTTTTTTTTTTTTAGTTATGGATTATTTAATTTTTTTTTTTTTTTCTATAAAAAAATATATATTTATAATTCTCTTTTGTAACTAAACGTGGACGTGATGAGTGGTATTTATTTATCTCTTATTTTCTTTTTGTTTGTTTCGTCCTCTATATATATATATTTATATATATTTATATATATATATATATATCGTTTTTAAAAGTATTTAAAATTCCTAATAATATGTCCTCTTATTTTTTATGATTTCTTTGAGTTTATATATTATGCTTCTTTTGTAAATAATTTTCCAATGAATTTTTTCATTCTCTTTTTCTACCTAATTCTAATGTTAGCCGATGTACATGAATATATTTCCTCCGAGAAATCATGAGACTCCTCCTTTTTTTTTTTAAATTTATATAACATTTCACATTTTCTGAATTTTCTCAATTTCTCTCTATCTCTTTCTATCTCTCTCGCATATTTTATTATAAAATTGAATATTGAAAAATAAAAAAAATACAAATAAAAAAATAAAAACCGAAAAAAAGTGAAAAAGTAAATTCAAATCATTTTCTTATACACAAGTTTTTTTAAACTAATTAATTTTTAATATTTAAATCCATAGTAAAACATACACAAAACATGATTTTAATTGAGAATATATATTAATAAACGATTTTTAAGAAAGATGCTGTAAGATGCGTAGAGCGACCAAATTAGCAGCATCAGCATCAATCGCTTCTTTTAATGTTAAACACTTTTGTTTCAATTTCTTTCTTAATTGGTAACTTTTGAGATGGTCCTTGTGTACTTTCGCTAATTTAAGCCAATGTTAATTATTTTCATTTTATGTTTTCTTATCATTTATTCCTTTTGCATTCATCACAAATATTTTTTTTTTTTTTTTTTTTTTTTAAAGAGAAAAAAATCTTTTTTTTTCTTTTTCATCCTTTGTCGAATTAATTGATTATTTAGGGAGACTTTTTTTCAATGATATCATTTTATATATATGTTATGTATAAACTTAGTAATGAAAATGTTTTCTTTATTTATCTTTTTCTTTTTATTCTTTTTCTTTTTTTTTTTTTTTTTTTTTTTTAATAATAATTTATTTTGTTTCGTTGTATTTTCTGAAACGAAATCAAATCGTATGGGAATCGCTGCCTTTTCAAATCAAAAACTAAAAAAAAAACAAAACTGAAAAAAAAAACAATAAACAAATTCTTCGATTGGTTTTCCATGCTACTACGTACGACAACTAATGCTATCTGAAAATCACTTATAATTTAAATGAAATTTTCTTTTTCTTTATAATGTTATTATTAATAATGAAAACGAAAACGAAAACGAAAAATAAAGGACTTTGAGGTATATTCACATTCACTTATTTAATACTAATTAATTAGAGCTATCAATAAAAAGAGAGAGAGAAAAAAAAAAAAAGAAAAGAAAAAACCGAACCTTAAACCTTAAAAAAAAAAAAAAAAAAAAATTAATAAATAAATAAAAAAAAAAAAAAAACAAATTGCAATTTATGCCACATTTTTATCTATGATTTTAATGAACTTTTAAATCTATTTAGTAGTTGTGTGATTTGAACCACATTCTAAATTCTATATAATCTGTAATTTGTGCTTACTTTTGTATTGATTTTCGTTTGATTTGTTATTGACTTCGGTTTGTTACAAAACAACGTTAAACAAAAAAAAAAAAAAAAAAAAAAGAAATGTAAGCAAATAACTAAAAACAGCAGCTACCTAGCAAAATATTGAATTTATTTTATCCAAAGACAACAACAAAAGTGTTTTCTATTAGTTAATTGTTCTATTTCCCTGAATTTCTGGCTTTAAAATAACTGTCAATTTGGTTTGTAATGTTTTTAATTTTTAAATATATATATATTTATTTTAATCAACAAATCCCACCACTCACCACAATTTATCGCACACGTCTAACAAAAAAACAAAAAAATTTGAAAGGATTTCTCGACTTCTCTAAAATCACAAAATCATAATTTTAATCATTTCCTCGCTATTCTTATCACAATTTTCATTTTTATTTCCTACATTAGCTATTAATTAATTTATTAACATCAATATAATAAAAATATGTGAAAACATCAAATTTTCTTCGCGACAAATGAATTTGATATCTAGTACCTCGATTTATATAAGCAGAAAAGCCGAGGTGGCAAACGATAGCGAGTAACAGCTCACTGGTCGGGGTTTCAAGTCGCAAATGCGGTGAAGTTTTCAATACAGGCGAGCATATAATTGAAGCTGTCCGTTAGTCAGATATATAATAAGAAGATATGAATAAATAAATGTAAGCAGTTAAACCGATAGACGATTAGATATGGATAACTCTGAAATTCTGAAATCGTGAAATCCTTATGCTTGTCACAATTTTGAATACCCATATCGCTTCTGGTAATCTTGCATTATTTGCTAAACCAGCCGATAAGACATAGATGCCCTGATACATCAAATCTGATTTTAGACTTTAACAAATGGGTAGATCGTAAATTTTATGTTCGGTTCAAACTGAAATCATAGTGAAGCACATATAAGTCCGATACTAAGATGAATAATTAGCAGGCTAACATTTCTTATCGTATATGATTCTTATAAGAAATTTTTTGAATATTTGTGCTGAGCGGGCAGGCGTCTTTGAATTGTTTGCGATGATCGTTGAAAGCGAAAATCTAGCGTGTAGCATAGCAATCACATCGTTAAAAACGGACATCATGTCGGAATGCTTTCAAACGGTATACTTAATATGATATTGATGCTATAGAATAGCATCGCGATAATAGCGAACTTTTCATTTAATCTCATATACTCGCCATTAGTGATAGAGGAAATGCTGCAAATGTTTGCAAAGAGAAGGCATACATACATCTTAGAGTTTAACATTTTTTGTGTGTGTCCGTATCCTTGGCGTAGTAACGATGAGGACGTGTAAAACTTTCCTTAGATGGGCAATGAATATTCGCAAAGAAACATTTCATTTTGAACTTTTTCTTAATTTCACTCTTAATAAGTAGGTTTTTTGTTTAGACTTTGAATTGTTCCTTATAGGGTAATGTCGCCTTATGCTCATTAAAAATAAAGTCATCTTTACACATTTATAGAGAAGAACAGCCAGTAATAGACTTGTTAATAACATAAAGGTTCGTGCGTATGAAAATACAAAAGTGAACGCGTGGAAATTCTCACAAAGAATTACGTTTACGTTGTTTGACATTTTTTTTACCGCACCAATGCAGGCCATTAATCAGTTTTTTTGCACTTAGAAGAATGAAACTTCGAATTTGCTAAGAAATGATTTTCAAAAATTACTCTAAAAATAATGATTTGAGCGGAGTGAGCGCAAGTTCCATCAATAGTGTTTACTGTTCTTTCTTGAAAAAAAATTTGTTTAAAAATTGAGCCCACAATATGTAAATTTAAGTTAAGTATTGAAAAATGGCTCGATATAATTGAAATTTCAAAGTAGTGTAAGAATTCGATTCGAAAGATATGTTTTTGAAAAACAAAACAAAAAAAAATCTATATAAACTTTCAAGCTTCAAATTTGAAATAGTATTTATGTTACGTGCAATATGTGATGCGCACACATTATACTTAACGACTTAACGGCTTTGAATGGCCGTGACGGGGCGCCATTTAAGATTTTCCATCGACAATTGCTGCCTATACTTGCCAAGTTATCCGATTCGATCTCGCATTATTCTCTCCCTCACAATAACCTTTTTATAGCATTCACGAATAGCTAAGGCATCATTCAAAGGGACAAAAAGAAAAAAAAACACGGAAATAATCGTAAAGTGATATTACCTCCCTTGCGTCCAAATAAATAGTTGATTAACAAGGAGTCCAAAGGCGTGGAGTATACAATGAATTAAAATTTTTGGCATTACGTAAGGAAGCGTGACACTGGCGTTTAGTGAAACGAGGTTTTAAGTGAATGCCACATATAACGGATTTTTGCTTTATTTTGCTATCACAAGCTAGTGATACATGTCAAGATCAATTTGGTTTAAAAAGGCTTTTTGCAGGTTTGTGCCGTAAGTTTAACCATAGTGTTCGATTCGTTCTATTCTATATTAAAACTAATTTTCTTATTACTACAAACTCGTTTTTATCAAGTTTTGATTCAATTCTATATGACCTTAGTGACTCTAATAAATAATTCTTGGTAATCACAAACATAGGTCCTCTGCATGATCTTTAGGACGAACTTTTGAGCCTTTTCAAAAGCGATGACTAGCCTGAGGCAACTAACTTAAATAGAAACTTTATTATTAAGTTTATACTCATTTCTCTTCACTTTGGTCACTAGCAACTCGCGGCTTTGGAATCAAGAAATTAGTAAATTAATAAATTTTTTTTAGTAAATTTTCACTTGCAAAAGGAAATTTGAAACTACTATCTAGAGATATTTATTATATATTTACTGAGGACTTACGTTGTTAATTATACCCTACAACTCCTGTGGTATAAAGGGATATTAAATTTCTGCAGGATATATGCAACACCGGACGGACGTACTTGAGGTAGGCCCATTTTTCATTGTGCGAACCGATCCAGAATCACTTTATCGATCGTTTCAGGTTTATCTGCCCGTCTGTCCGTCCGTCTTGTTTTTTATTGTTCATCCCATACGCCATCATTTTTGAGATATGTTGATGAAATCTGATCTAGTGATCTGTTTTGAACCAAGGACGCAGACTTTTGAAAATGATTTGGATCCGCGGATCGTGGCACACGCTAGTGCTTCTACTCGTTTTTATTTCAAGTTAATTTTAATTTCATTTCTTTTTTTCTTCTACAAAACGAGCTTGTTCCATTTTTAACCTGAACGGCTTAAATTCAATTGATAAACGTACCGTAGATATCATGATTTCATAGATTTGATTTGATGGCTTTCATATAGCTTTTTATTTTGATATTATTAGATACTTATATACGATCCGATATTTTTCTACCAAGATCAATTAAGATTAGATTTATTTTGATATGAATTGTTGTATATAGCCATTGGATTATTTCCATCTTATTTATGAGTTGTTAACTGTGACTGTTTCCAAGCTTAGCTTGTGATCATGAACTAAGCACACAAGGCATAAACGAACTGGCGGATCGAGGAGCAAACTGACATGCCTAAATCCCTTCATAGATTATGATATATCTTCACTGAAGTCAAATTCACGTATGTTTAGTATAAATACAAATATGATTAATCAATATATTATAATCGAAAAAAACAGACCATTAATTACCCTACACCTGTTTGCTTAACACAATTCTTGATACACTTTCATCATGAAATACCGAACCAGATCGTTTTAATTCTGTAAGGGCGACCGAAAAGTTAACCAATGCGATCTTTACCAATTAAAGTCACAAAATGCTAACAAGTAGATCGTTGTGACATATAGAACCTTCCTTTTCATGAGTGCCCTTCTACGTCAACGCGTTCGAAAAAGAGATTTATGTGGTCAAACCTTTGTACGGTAAATTACGATGCTATGCTCATCACAAAATATTAAAAATTGGACTTCGCTATACAAAGGCTTATTTTTTTCTAAAAACCTTTGTGTAAGAGAGATTTTAAAAAGTGCGTCCATATCTTCCAAAATTTCCCCTGCTTCATTTGAGAAGCTGAAGTATTCCCTTTCATTGATTTTTATCGAAAAATATTAGAAATTACAAATGCATTTATATAACGACCTTTTCTTTAAACGGGATGTCACACGTGCGAGCGATGGTCGTCAAGAGCCAACGCATATTCAATAGCGTTCTTTCTTTAATCAAAACATGTCCGTTTATTAAACATCATGAATAAAAGTTTAAAATTTGCGACATATAGATTGAATACAAAAATACATAGATCGATATCAAATAAAGAGAGACGCCGACAATACGAAATCAATTCACAAAATGATTCCGAAGTCGATCGGTTTAGATCGAAGATAAGTCCGTTACGACTTCTTCATACATGTTTCATGCGAACGCAAAAAACGTATATATAAATTACCACAAGTGATGTACTGATTACTTTATATTTTAAAAAAAATTTCATTCATTCATATCAATACCGTTTGTTTATATTCAAGAAGAGCCAATAGCCTGTGTTGCTAGTGCTCAATGTCTTTTTTTAGTCTAAGAATTCATTTCGTTAGTCTAAAATTAAAATAATAATAATAATAATAATATATTCAAGAAAATATTAGTTTGGGGAAAATGAAATCCATTATTTTTTCGGTAGATGGCTGCACTGATGGATTTCTCGTAAAGTATAGATCAAACAATTTCAGATTTATGCCCGTTGGAAAGGTGACATTTCGCAGTAAAAAAAATTCTTTTGCTGTTTTTTGTTTCGTGCATTCAGTTGGGAGTTACAGCGTGTTAAAAATGGAAGTGAACAAAGGGAAAATTCGGTACATTTTACAGTTTTTCTTTGACAAAGGCGAAAATGCAAGCCAGGCGGCTAAAATTGTGAATGGTGTTTATGGTTCCTCGCACAGGTAGGCCGGTCGTCGAAAATGTCGATAAAATCGGAGAAATGATCGAAGTTGACCGGCATGTTAGGAGTCGTAACATCGCCCAGGAGCTAAAAATCGACCATAAAACAGTTTTAAACCATTTACACAAAGCTGGATTCAAAAAGAAGCTCGATGTTTGGGTGCCACACCAGTTAACAGAAAAAAACATGATGGATCGAATTTCCATCTGCGAAGCCTTGGCCAAACGGAATGAGATAGACCCATTTCTTAAACGGATGGTGATTGGAGATGAGAAATGGATCACATACGATAACCCTGTGCGAAAACCATCGTGGTCAAAGAGCGGTGAAGCACCTCAAACGGCCAGGAAGGTTTTGCTATCCATTTGGTGGGACTGGAAGGGGATTATTTATTATGAGTTGCTTCCATATGGCCAAACGCTAAATTCTGATCTCTACTGTCAACAACTGGACCGTTTGAAGATAGCGATTGACCAGAAACGGGCAGAATTGGCCAACAGGAGAGGTGTCGTGTTCGACCAGGACAACGCTGGGCCACACACATCTACAGTGACTCGCCAGAAACTTCGGGAGCTTGGTTGGGAAGTTTTAATGCATCCGCCATACAGTCCGGACTTGGCACCAAGCGATTATCATCTTTTTCTTGCATTGCAAAATTTCTTTAATGATAAAAAATTGGAATCTATTGAGGATTGTGAAAATCGACTACTCGAGTTTTTTGCAAATAGAGACCAGAACTTCTATGAGAGAGGCATTTTGAGGTTACCTTTAAAATGGCAAAAAATCATACAACAAAACGGTGCATATTTAACCCAAATCGGACAATCCGAAGCATGTTAAATAAAGTCCTAAAGTTCATATAAAAATAATGGATTTCTTTTTCCCCAAACTAATATTAGAGAGAGAAAGTGCATTAAATTATTTTAGCTGTTGTGGACGTTGTTGTTATTGTGCCAATATTGTCACATTTTTTTGGAAAGTTCATCTCTAACTCTTTGTAATTTTTTAATAATGAAATTTGCCAAGCGGCCGTTTTTCTTATTTCAGTAGAAAGACGGACGCACATAACGGCTTAAGTAATTTTGAATCGATTATTACAGCTAAAGGTGGTTGCAACTCAAGCAGCTGTAAATGTTGCATGCATTCGTAGAGTATCAAAAGGCTATCTAATGCTGTTATCGGGACGTTAGCAAAAGATATGATAAGAACCGCCTTCCCTCGGTTGCGATTACCAGAGAAATTGGGCAAAAAGCGCTGGCTTTAGAGCTAACTTGGATTACCTGAAACTTCGGGCCACAAGGCAAAAAAAACAAATACAAAAAATAAATAAATAAAAATCATAATAGATTCGATCTTGAAATGTCCGACAGTCTTCAAAAATATACACCGGAAAAATTGCCTTTCTGAGTCAGCACCCGGGATATATATATATTATACATGTATTCGGGTGACCAAATAGTAGTTATAAGTTTACACGTGGAAGGGGAGAAAGCAATCAAAAAGCAATAATTTATTTACCTTTTCCTCTGTATTAAAGGCAAAAATCAGCTGATCGATCGGACGGCGAGTTTTAAATCAAAGTAATTCTCAAAATTTTAATTCTTGCCATTATTCGCAAGACAATGAAGTTTTATTTTTTAATTTAACTCATTCGCTTCTGATAAAATGATATAATGAAATGATATATGTTATATATATGATAGACAGCACAACGAAGTACAAATGGAATAAGTAGAAAATTTCGATATGCGTTAAAAATTGATTTTCTAATTACTTAGCCATATCAACGGAAAATGAACGACAAAGTAATAAAGCGAATATTTATATATTAATTGATGTTCGTTTGTTCGTTGTTCGCGTGTCTGTTGTTGAGAGTCTTAAATGCAGAAATTTTACTGTCAATAACTTACAACTTATAGCGAATATTCACTTGAAAATGGATAGCAGGACTTATTATAGCTAAGCAAAGATTTTGAGGTAAAATACTTTCTACTGACAATCTAACTGAAAATTGCTTTATATGTATGTATATGCTTCAGGTATCTGGGGGTTGTGGAAGTCATCTCATCTTGATGTCGGCAGACCGGGGCAGACCGATGTAGATAAGTTGAGCTAGCTTGTGCTTTTGTATTCTTGGGTATGCAAACCCCTCGACTATCGTGGGCGAATGGTTGTGCGGAGGCTATCTTAATATCGTAAGGAAATTGCTAACTTAGGCAAACCAAATGACTGAATAATTCCGTTTCGATCGACATTTGATAGCTTGTTAAGATAATGATTTAAAGGAAGGAAATGAGTTGGCCGAAGTTGCAAAGATAACCACTGAACATATTCACACTTTTCCTTTTAAATAGGGATGTTAAGGTATATAGTGTGTCTCTTAATGCTTTTTGACCCGATTCCTTTAATGCGTAAGCAATTAATCTCCTATTAGCTATTATTTTCTTGGTAGTCATGAACAACGTTCACGCTTTGGTGAGCTTGATTGACAATTTTATGACAATGATGAATACTTTCCGTTCAGAATTTTCGCATATACTCTTGTTTTTCAATAAAGATGATAAATTTTTACAATTCTTTGACTTAAGCTTAAGAAATAAGTGGTGGTAAGTACACAAAATTCTCTCTAAAACGCATTCAATTTTCGTATACTTCATGATTTCCTCGCGATCATCATTCTTCTCATTACCTAAAACGAAAACAAACAAAAAACTTAACAGTTCTTGCAAACATAATAATCTTAAATATAATTTAATTTTATTGCTGTTTTCATTTTCTTTTTTTTTTTTTCAGTTATTGTTTTGATTCCTTTTTTTTTTGTTTTGATTTTTTTTTTTTTTTTTTTTTGTTTTTTTCTTATTTTTTTAGTTTGCCTGTGTAGTAGTTACTACTTCTCTATATAGAGCGAGCATTAAAAAAATCCACAAAAAAAAAAAAAAAGAAAAAACAACAAACACTTAAATCTTTACCTACAACACAAATATAAATATATTAAAAAACTTTTGATTTTGTTAAAACATTTGGTTGATGGTAATCAATAGAAAGTATTTTCAGCATGAAAGATAAGATTTTTCAAAAAAATTAATATTTCATTGAAAATGAAGTAAAACCCCCCGCTTGCAGTCACTTATCCCCTATGTCGCTAAGCCGTCCAAAGCAATTAGAGAATCTAAATCAAGTCCGCAGCGATTGTTTTGCTTAATTCTCATAATGCATTACCACCCAAGCTAAAAGAATATTTGAAGGCATTTTTATCAAAAAACATTTTGTTCTTGTTGCTAATAAAGAAAACAAAAAAAAAACAAAAAAAAAAAAAAACCGAATGAAAAATAAATTAATTAATTAATTAATTAAGACCATCTCACAAGTGCTAATTATAGAATTTTATTCCAATCAAATTACTTTTCTCACAAATTTTGTTTATTATTATCATTATTATTATTATTATTATTATTATTATTATTATTAACTCTTAATTACAAAAAAAAAAGAGAAAAAAAAAAGAAAAAAAAAAAAAAAAAAAAAAAAAGATATACATACGCATAAACACATTGTATATATATATATATATATTAATCAAGCATTGAGTGATCCCTCTATTAAGCTTTGCATGCATCTACAAATGTAATGGTAAAGTTTAGCGAAGACTCCGCTTAAGCTTCTATCTCAGAGATCACTAATATTAATTTAATTAGAGCATTTATAAAATACTATTATATTTTCATTTAAAATTCTAATTCTAATTTCAATTTCAATTTCATTTAATGTGGTTCCTTAACGTTTTTTATATGTATGTGTTTGCTTAATATGTACACACAAAATTTATTCTTCTCTATTCACCTACACTGTCGAAATGTTTCGTGTTTGCGAGTTTTTTTCGTAACGTAACGTAAAAATCAAAATTGAAGACAAGAATAACTAATTAACTTGTCGCCTAAAGTATATATTTATAAAACTTTTAATGCCATTTTTTTTTTTTAGTTTTTCGTACGCCTGGATCATATACGCAAATGCTTCACCCAAAAAGGCGGTATTTTTGTTTTGGAAGAATACAGTAAGTGCAGCACTTTTATTAAAAAAATTTTTGCAACTTAAACTAAATCATTCATCCTTCTGTACCATTATTGATATATGGGTTTATTATTTATTTTTTTTTTTTCGTGACGAATACTCATATAAAGGCTTTATACTCATTCATACACTTAACATCCATAATACAATAGAAAGGAAAATGGCATAGCGCCTCATCTAAGCTAAACAAAAAAATTTATGATGGATACCAAAAAGATTCACTATTATCCAAATGAAATATCTTTGCTGTGTTATTGTAATAAACTTTAAAAATTTTATCCAAATCTTTATGTTTCTTACGCTTTTTTAATACTAACAGATCCCAAAACACGGCAACTCATCCAGCGGAAATACAAATCGACAATGGTAAGTCAAATCTATGCACACACATTCATTATCATGCCACCATTCCTGCGTTTTTGTTTTCCAAAATTTTTTGGCATGCATGTTAAATCGTGTGTCTTTTAAAAAGCAGAAAAGAAAAATTCCCCCCCCCCCCCCCCGTAAAAAAAAAAAAAAAAAAAAATTCATCTTTTTTCCAACACAATTATTATTCACAAATTTTTTTGATAATTTTAATTTAAATTCCTTTCTATTCCTTTATTTTTATAAATTATAAACTTGTTCATATATGCATAATTGTATATATGTGTGTGTATCACACCAAAAAAAAAAAAAAAAAAAAAAAAAAAAAAAAAAAAAAAAAAAAAAAAAAAAAAAAAAAAATAAAAACATCATCATCAAACATTCCAATACAATTGACAACGTATTGCAAATTGAACTGAATAAGGCTTGCGCGGCTGCTTTAAGTTTGCATCGCATGTTTTCCATAAAATTTGCCAAAAAACTAATGGAAATCTCCTACAAAACCAATAAACGGGATAGCAATCACAATGAGACTGAACGTTATGTTATGGATTCTTGTAAATACTGATAACTGATTTTGAAAAAAATGCGTTGAACACAATCTTCACTTTATACCCACAGTACACACATTGTAACTATAATTGTATCTATAAAAAACGTTTCCTTTTTTTATTAGACTTTAAAACTATATATATTTTTGCATGTCTTACTAAAAATTATTATATTTTGTTGATTTTATACAAAACAATAAATTAATAAAATGAATTAATTTTTTTTTTTTTTTTTTTTTTTTTACAATTTTACACAAAATGTTATTTGATCATCTTTTTATCATATATCATAGTTAATTAATTATTGAGAATTTTTTATGTGAATTTCAAAATGTGTGTACGCATGTGTTATTATGTCACTTTATTTCGATGATTTTTTTAATAAATTGTACAAATTTTTGGTTTTTTTTTTTTTTTTTGTTTGTTTAAATTTTTATACAAAATCATGTTTTGGTTTCCTTTTTTTTTATCACATAATGTTCGCTATGTGAGCTTGTGTTTGGTATTAAAAATTCTCTTGCATTTTTAAAATATATTTTTATCGTAAAGGCTGATCAGATATGCTATTCGGTATTGTGTGTATTTTCGTATGTGGCCGCCGGACAAGATCAAAATCAAAAGAAAAATCCGGTGGTTATAACGCCGCAGATACAAGACTTATATGCGCAACAGAAACAGCAATTGGCGCAACAACAGCAACAGCAGCATCAACCGGCGAAAGATAGCACTTCGCGTTCCAAAATACAAACGAAACCACCGGTTGTAGCTCCGCAACAGAATAGCAATAAAAGTCAAACTTTGACTATAAGGCATGCAATGGAGATACAGAAACCTAGTATTACCACCACAACGGTACAACCTCAGACAAAATTGGTGCATACCAGCGTCAAGACATTTAATATGGCCACACCTATGAATACAATAGCGCAAGGGAGCCCTAATATGCAGCAAACATCCGAGTATCAGTTGCAGCAAGAAATAAACAAACATCCACCATTGGGTCCGCGTACGAGCGGTGGCAGTCAAACAGGGCCTTTACCACAATTACCACCACGTATACCCTCCCAAACGTCCACAGAAAATTTAGCTACCTCACCGACTTTATCTACTGGATCTGCAGGAAAGAGAAGAGGGCCACCACCTGGCCCACCGCCAGCTATTCCACCTAGAACGGGGGCTTTGGCGCGCAGTTGCTCCATACAAGTAGCAACTACTGGTACTGGTATAGCCACAAATTCAGGTCCCGCTAGAGCGTTTGTGCGACAAATTTCGGCCAATTCAACGCCACCACAATACACGCCGCAACCACCTCCACCATTTGTTATACCCAAACGTCACACCACCCTGTCACGTGCATCTTCAGTAGCTACATCATCACTCACCACATTATCAGGAGTAGCCCCGTACTCAAACACTACTGCTGCTTTTAATAGTGCAGTAACAACAAATTTACAAACATCTCAGTCACAACAACAGAAACGTCCATCATATGGTAGTTTAAGTATGGGCGCTTCGCAATCTGCAACGCCCGCTTCGGCTGGCGGTAACAGGTCGAGTTCACCTCAAGCTCATCGCAGACACTGACGAAGGAGTTCATTTTTCAGATTCTCAAGTCGTGACAAAAGTAACGGTGGTAGTGGCGGCGGCGGGAATAGCAATGTTGGTGATGGCAGTGGTGGTGGTGGTGGTGGTGGTGGTACAACCGGCAATGAACCTCACGGACGTGAAGTATGTCGTACCATTTGCATGCCTTGGCTATAATAATACTATTGACCATAAGAAATTCAAAACAAACAATAATTTAACCTTATTTTCGTTTTCAACTCTTGCCCGAAATCGTTCAAAGAAAACTTAAAAGGATATATCATACAAAAAAAAAATTATTCTCTAAAGACATATTTCTTATTCACATAAGTGAACACTATGTTTCTCCACATACATAGCCTTAATACAGTTAATAGATACTAAAAAATATAAAGAAAACTTGAAAGCTTTAAATTCTAAACAACAGCAACTACAACAAACAACAAAGCATAACTTTATTCATATAAATATATATAGTTTTCTTCCTCATCATCAAAATCTTATTTTCACACAAATTAAACACAAAAGAAAAAAAAAAAAAAAAACGTAAGAAAAATCAATATCTCCTACAAATAAAAAAATAATAAGTAATTAATTGATTATATTTGAAACTAGAAGGCATAACTAATTATACAAAAAACAAAATAAGGTTGCGTGGTCACCACGCTTATGCGAAGTGAAACTTCACATACACACACACACACATATATATAAAAGAGACAACTTTTCAGATGAAAACAATTATTAGCAATCATCAGATTCCACATTCTCATAGCAATTTAATTAAGCGATCAGGTAATAAGTGCGTTTTTAGTAATTGATTCGCTCGTATGTTCGCTTTATGCGTTTACGTTCCATTAACGTTCGATTAACTTATTCACTCTCAATAAAACTTTTGCGAGGCTTCTACAATGCAATTACATTTTTATCTGGTATGTAGACCCATACGATTACAGTAGACTCTATCCAAATTTACTTACAATCGTTCAAGTTTCAAGTTTTACATTCTTCTTCATTCTTCTTAAGTATAAATCTCGACCTTTGAAAATCTAACAAGCGAGCGAAGAAATACTGAGTTTGAAAACTTTTTTAGCAAAGAGCGTAACTAGTATCGCATCGTATTGAATAATCTCATCCATGTTTTGCATGCGAGAGCATACGCTTTACGGTTCAATTTTTTCACCAAAAATGCATACGATATAGTTTTTCCGAGCTTCGAGGAAAATGAAGCGGTTTGCAGGAAGCGCTTTGAAGGATTATGAACAAACGAAACAATGAATATATGAATGATACAATATCCGAATTCCCCAAAAATCCCTGAGAAATCAATTTAGTATAATGGACTATGAGCCCCTTCAATCCAGCAAAACGGTTTGTGAACAATCTCGCCGATAACAGCTGATACGATTGAAATAAAAAATTATCAGTATAGCATGACAGCGCTAACAAACGTTGCCGGCACTGAACTTGGGCGTACACCTCTCTGTCTTAGCATGTTTATGAGAGAATGTTTTTTCCAGATTTACATTCAATTCAACTTAGATTCAATAATGTCCAGCTTTGAGCAGCATTTTCATTTCAAAAACGCGAATTTGCTTTCAACACCGAATTCATATTTTGTTTGAAAGATGCATAAACAAATATCTTCTATCATTTTTTTTTTTTTTTTTTTTATAAAAAATATTTAATTTTCTTTATATATATATATATATATATATATATATATATGCAATTAATGTCGAAAGAATCAAGATTAAAATATTTACAAAAAATATGCCTTGATCTTGACCTATTGCAATACATCAATGGACCCTTAAGATATCTGCTTTTCTAATTCGCAATAGTGAGTAACATCTTACAATAGAATATATATACTTTGTATATGCCGAAGTCACGTTTTCGTAGCGTCTAACCCTGTGGACTTCTTGGAATTACCTGAAGATTTCAATATCATTAAACTATGTAACTTTATTAGATATATATGTCTAGTCAATCTTTTAAACAAAGTACAGCCGATAGTCTTGGTATATCTTGGCTAATGCTTGGTGTGCTTTTTTAGTCCTTAGTTTCTTTGGTTTTTTTTCATTTTAATTAAGTTTAAATTCCATTCCATTAAGAAGACGAAAAAGAATCAGCTCATCATAATGTTAAAATATTTATCCACGCATTACACAGTGAGTTTAAATAGACCTTAGCCGCTATTAGTTTTTATCCAGAATTCTACATATTGAGTTCATTCAAGTACGCATAGCACGCCTAGTCCAAATAATAAGCATGCGAAGAACGAAACAAAATAAATAAATGGATCAAAAGACATTTATTCGCTTCAGCATATACTTAATCAAGTTTGAAAAAATTTCGCATAGCATTTCTTCAAACTATTTAGATCGTTTCTGAAGTGATTTTTCATGAAGCTTATCTGCGGCTGGGGTGGCAACTGCTTAATTTCAAGAAAAATTCTGGTTCTGCATTCATTTTTTCCAATTTGGGAACGAATGAAGTTCATCTACGACCGGTCTGGGAAATAATTATATGAAGACCTTCGAAAAATACGTAATTTA